ATAGGTAATTAACAAAATATCTCCACCAATCAAGAAATCTAACCAAGAAGTCGATTCCAAGCCCAAATAGGACACCAAACAGTATTCCTCTTCACTTGTAAGTGATAGGTCTTAGGTTCAATTGTCGTCAAAGGAAAATTTGAACCATATTATTACTAACCCATTATAAGACTTAACCTACTCCCCCACCTTTTAATATAAAATAATATTGTTGGTTCAAAAAATAAATAAAAATAAAAATAATTTTTTCATCATCGTATTTGAGCCATATATCCCAACAGAAACTTGAAATACAAGGCAACTAGCGAAATTAAAAAGTTACAACAAAAAACCAAAATAATAGGTTACAAACATACAACTCAGAATGAAATAATAAGTTACAACAAAAAAGTAACACTGAAATAATAAGTTACAACAAAAATTTGGGCTCAAGGCCTCCGGCTCAGTCTTCTTTGTGTGATTGGATGTCTTCATGTGTGGAGCATTTATCCACATATCAGTTAGCTTTATTGTTAATGCTCATTCACGTTATTTGGCGTACTAGGAACTCTTTGCTCTAGGATGGTACAGTTGTAAACCCAACTTCGGTTAGCTACCTATCTAAGCTTCATCTTGCTGAGTTCGACAAGTTTAAACCTGTGACTGCTTCTCGTCCGTTGCAGGCTCTGTCTTGCTGATGACCCCCTCCGTCTGGGTGGGTGAAAATCAATGTGGATGGCTCTTTCCTTGCTGATTCGAATCTGGGAGGTGTAGGTGCGGTATTTCGCGACGAAGCTAGTAGCTATGCTGGAGGTTTTGTTCGTCAAATATTCCTTGCATCAAATCCTACCATGGTGGAGCTAATTGTTGTCCGTGAGGGTGTTTATTGGGCTATGCAACGGAACTTGCCATGAATTATTGTAGAGAGTGATTCTTTGCAGGTTGTTCAAGCTTTTGGAAGCCATAACTAGGGATCTTTGCACATGGATTTATTAGTGGCAGACATTCGAATTAGTCTGCGGGGCTTTGTGGATTCGCAAGTTTGCTATGTTTGCCGTACCACTAACGTCGCAGCTCATTGTATGGCCAAGTTGGCTATTTGTTCTACCTATGATTTTTTTTTTTTTTTTTTGAGGAGTCTCCAGACTTGACTGTAGAGGCCCTCATCGATTCTGTTTGACATTATTTCTATCTAAATAAACCACTATCATTTCAGCTCAAAAAATAAAAAATAAAAAACCAAAAAGTTTGGTAATTTTCGATTTCAGAATTTTCAATTTTGATAAATTTAGTTTCAGTTCAGTAATTTTTATTTCAGTTTCAGCATTCAATTCATAATATGTCAGTCATTGTAACTTATTCTTTCAACGTCCACTTAAGGTCTTTCACCCTCAGGTATCTCTTCTTCAACAAATTTCTCCATATGCAAAGCGAGTTCCTTTTCTTCAAATTCCTATTCCTTATATTTTGGCCTACCATATTTAGTTAGATCGACCTTGATCACCCTTTTTTTCTTATATCTAAACAAATTTGAAAGGAATTTTTGCAAAGTTGTAACAAGGGTCGAGAAACAATTGTGGGTAATGAATGCCACTATATAATGTAAATACATGTTGTGGGTAATGGATATCCTTGTAACAAAAGGAATAAGACCTGTTTGATTTTGTCATACAGGTGTTGTATAAGCCAAATAATTTTTTGTCTAAATAACGGATGGATAAGAAATCACAAGCTTTAAGTTTCTTGTTAAAGAAACATTTACATCATGTCGTTTTATACCAGTAGGGGTTGAGCGTGAGGATAGCTCGTTGAGGTGTACATATTGTATAATGGGTTCAAAATTTTGAGTAGATATTTCATTGTCTCGCATTGGTTACTACCAAAATGTTCCTTAACTTTATAAGGCTTCGTTCCTTTTCGAAAGTAATTAGAGTGATGGAGCATGGAGAATAAAATTGGGCTCAACCTTGGATTTGGACCTTAGGGCTCGGACTCTAATAATTAAATTCGTTAATTAACTTCAAATTTATTTAATTAGTTAATGTTTATATCTACAGACTATCTTTTCATATGAAGTTTGAAGTGATGAAAGAACACCAAAGAGCAAATTACCCACCTGAGATCCCATACTCATACCTGTTGCGAATAGACATATATCAATTATATATACATCCATCTGCATGGCATTTAGAACATAAAAAAAAAAAAGCAAATTCTCCTTCTACAATCTCAAACCTTCTTATTGAGAAAACCACAAAGATATTCACCAAAAGTCTAGTTTTTCAGTGCTGGAATCTCGACTTAGATCATTAATCCTGGTGAAGTAAACATCCATTGAACTACAAATACAAAGTGGAGACAAAATTCTATTTCAAGGGCATTGCGGTACGTAAGCCTAGATCTTCATTTTGTCTATATAATATTATTTTGTTTTGTTCATACTCTGTCAACTTATTTATTCACATTTATTATTTATTAGTATATATAAATTTATCATTGATTGTTGATATTTATCCAACATTATGAATGGAGGTTTTAGACTTGTTATCTTTCTCGACCTATTGGGTCTTCCCTTTCAAGCCTTGGTGTGTCCAGCATGTGAGCCTAGCAAGAGGTGGCTAGCTCTAGTAGGCAAGTTCATCTAGGCCAACCCTACCTAATATAAGAGTATCTCCAATGGAGTAGGCAAATGAGTAGCCAAATTCTTTTTTATGAGCAACATAGGCAAAATCAAGCTCTAATTTACTAGTCAATTGAGTGGGAAAAATTTGCCTACCTTCCCAAAGTAGATAACATTGCATACTTCTATATGTGTAGGCAAAACATCTCTATTTATAATAAAGTATTCCATGTGAACGGAAGTAGACAAAATAAAAGATAAGTAAATAACTAAGGTAAAAGAAAAAATAAACAAAAATATTTTGCCTACATGGTTTGCCTATTCCATTGGAGTAACACATTTTTTTTCACGAAGCAATTATGTAGTCAACTTGCCACATCAACCATTATAATACAATTTTGCATATTCCATTGGAGATGCTCTAACGCAAACTTAATCATCTGCATATCTCCTGTGTGTATGCGAGGGGAAATCTGTACAACCGAAGCTTCGCAGTCCATGTGTCCATATATTATTTGGCGGTAAATAAGTCATTGGTGAGTTGATCTAAGGTATGCTCAAATCCAGTTCCTATCACCACTTTTCAGCTCTTCTTTTACGCCAAGTTCACTACTAATATCATTTCTCCAATATCTCTTATTTTCACTAAACTTCAATCTACCGCTGATTTGAAGAACTTCGTTGCGATACACTGATTATATGATTTTTCCCTAAAGCCAAATTAGGACTTGTGTTCACATGGATGTGCAATTGGATTTCTGGAGAGACCAAGTTCAAGTCCACAAATCCATCAATTATTCAACATGTTCTTTGTGACCAGATGCGATGAGTTCTATGACGGTGCGCGATGCTTCAATTTGTTGTGGCAATCAAGGAATAGGCTTGGCTTTGAAGATAGAAGTGTTTTTTTTTTTTTTTGAACAAGCGATATTATCTACACTAAGGAAGAGGAGGTGGGCTTAGCTTCACAATGAGTTAGCAATAATGTGGTTCAAACTTGCCTTTGGCGAGAATCGAACTTAAGACATCTCACTTACAAGGGAAGAGGAATACCACTAGATTGTAGTACTAAGTGGCGAAGATAGAAGTGTATTAGTCATCATTATGTTGCCACTATTACAATAAAATAGCAAAAAACATTGCTTCGGGCTTTGCTTGCCACTGGATGTTGTTGAGTGGCACTACAATCCAATCAAAATTCCCCACGTGATGAGTCTTAAATATAACTTTTTTTTTAATCATTTTCTTGTATTAAAAACTCTCAAAATTATATTTCCTAATAATTATACACCATGAGATTAATCGAATGGTTCATTTTTTTGTTTTTTCCCTCTTCTCATCTCCCTTCTTTTTTCTTCCCAAACTTTCCTTACTATCTTCGTCCCCACTCTATATCTAACCTTTGCTGACATATATTTTGGAGATCTTTTATTGAGATTTTGGGCCATTAAACAGTAGGAAGAAACCTTAACAGCACCTTAAACTTTCATGTTAGTTTAATATTGACTTTTTATTTAATTACAGGAACTGGGGTTTCTTGATCAACCTGTACTTGGGCTTATACTTCTTTGCATTCTCAACGGCATAATAAATCAAACAAAAACCACTGGATTTCCCCCCTCCAAAATGGGTGTGGAACTTGAAAACAAAGATGGCATTTGGATCCCTCACTTCATACTATCAGATTGCAGAGATATACTTGTTCTTCATATGAGTTCTTGATAGAGAGAGAAGCATTTGAGAGACAATAACAGTTTTAGAGAGAGAGAGTTGTATCTTGTATATATTGAATGAATGAAATCTTACAGCAGTACATAGATATATATAGACAAGGTTTCCTTAGTTACTAAGTAAGCTAACTGTCAATAACAAAATTAACCAACTTAGGCAACCTAATCTACGTACACTTGTCATCATTTGGAACAACTAATACATCTTTACATCCCGCCACAATCTCATACTTGGATGAACCAAGCATCATATTGGAACAATGACATTGAAAGAAAGGTGCATCAAGACCCTTAGTAAGAATATCTGCAAATTGTTCTTTGGAAAACACATGACAAACAGTCAAGTCTCCTCAGATCACTCTTTTCCTGACAAAATGGTAATCTATTTCAATGTGCTTCACTCGAGAATGAAAGACAGGACTGGAAGACAAAGCAATGGCTGAAATGTTATCACATTAAAGCACTGGTGCAGTGAACACAAAGACATGAAGATCATATAATAATTGCCTAATCCATGCCAATTCTGCAGCTGCAATAGCTAAAGCTCTATATTTTGCCTCATTTGAAGATCTTGACACTGTGTGTTGCTTCTTAGAGGCCCAAAAGATGGGACTATAACCAAAATACACAATATGACCAGAAGTTGATCTTCAATCATTAGGATCACCTGCCTAATCTGCATCACTGTATACTTGTAGATGCAGCTTTCCAGGTTTAAAGTTGAGACCATAGTCTATTGTTCCACTGAGACACCTAAGAGTCCTCTTAACTGCAACAACATCAGAATTCATAGGATTATGCATAAATTGACAGCATTGATTCACTGAGAATGCTATGTTTGGCCTTGTAAAAGTCAAATACTGCAAGGCACCAACAATGCTCCTATATTGCTCTAGATTATGATATGGAGTACCATTATCCTTAATAAGTCTATGATATGGCAGACAAGGTGTAGGACAAAGCTTTGAATCTTGTAAGTCAACTTCGTTTAGCAAATCCTTAATATATTTGGACTGAGATACAAACAATCCACCAGATTGACAAGTGATTTGTAACCCCAGAAAGTAATCCAACTGTCCCAAATCCTTCATTTCAAACTTTTTGGTTAATTCCATAATAACATCATTGATCATCTGAGAAAAACTGCATGTAAGGATGATATGATCCACATAGAGTAACAACACAACAGTTTCAGCAGCATTATGCTTAACAAACAAGGATGGATCTGCAAAAGATGACTTAAAACCCAAACCAGGCAACTAACTTGTAAACTTCTCATTCCAAGCTCTGAGAGTTTGGTTCAAACCATATAGTGACTTATTAAGCTTAGAAACATACTAAAAGCGATGACTTGAACTCTTAAATCTTGGAGGTTGTGTCATATACACTTCTTCATTTAACTCACCATGCAAAAATGCATTCTTGACATCTAATTGTCTCAAAGACCAATTGAATTATGTTGCCAAAGCTAAAATCAACCTCACAGTGGTGGGTTTAACTACAGGACTGAAAGTCTCATTCTAATCAATGATTTCCTCTTGACTATATCCTTTTGCAACCAATCTAGCTTTGTGTCTAGCTTCATTTGATCCTATATACGCACTTGCAGCCAACCAAATTCTTATCAGAGGGTAAAAGAACTAAGCTCTAAAATCTTCTGAGCATGAAGGGCATCTATCTCATCTTGCAAATCTACTTGCCACTTAGAAAATTTGCTAGCAGACTTGTAAGAAGTAGGTTTAATTGCAGTTGCAGGTGATTGATGTCACATCCCGGCCTGGGGCGGATTACTTCCCGGGCCCGCTCCACCACCGTAGCACGATATTGTCCGCTTTGGGCTTACCATTCCCTCACAGTTTTGTTTTTGGGAACTCACGAGCAACTTCCCAGTGGGTCACCCATCATGGGATTGCTCTAGCCCCTTTCTCGCTTAACTTCGGAGTTCCCACAGAACCCGAAGCCAGTGAGCTCCCAAAAGGCCTCGTGCTAGGTAGGGATTGGAATATACATTTAAGGATCGCTCCCCTGGGCGATGTGGGATGTCACAATCCACCCCCCGTTAGGGGCCCGACGTCCTCGTCGGCACATTTCCGGCCAGGGATTGGTTCTGATAATTGAACAGTTGCTGAGAATACTTTCTTTTTGGAAATCCCACTTTTGGGCCTAGTTTGCATGGGATGCAAACTAATTAAAGGTATAGGAAAGACAATAGATAGATTTTCAAGAAAATCTGGATCAACAGGGATTTGAGACTGTGTAGACAGTTGAGATGCTAGCTCATAGGGTAGAACAGGGTAGAGAAATCCAAAGACTCTGAGGCACTAGAAGAAATGGAATTAAACAACTTTGTGGCTCTAGTGGTTATGGAATTTGAACTCTCTGAGGCTGTAGGGGATAAGGTAGGTGAATGAGATGGTTGAGGAGAAAATGACTATGTTTTGTGAAGTGACTAATGGTGTAATGTACGTGGGGCATTGACAGAGACCCTTTGCTAAGATGAAATGTTATGAAATGTAGTGGATGAATGTGTAAATTTTGAAAATGAAAAATCAAATTCATCAAATAAAACATGTCTGGAGACCATAATCTTGCCAGTATGAGGATTAAGACACAAATACCCTTTATATTGGCCTGCATATCCTATAAACACACACTGAGTTGTTTTGGGTTGCAACTTAGTAGTATTGTAGGGTTTTAGATGTGGATAGCATGCACAACCAAAGATTTTAAGATGAGAAATCTGAGGAGGGTTACCGAACAAACATTTGTATGGTAAAGACATGTGCAAGGTTTGACAGGGAATTCTATTTATAAGGGACATAGAAGCAGCATAGGCATGAAACCAATACTTAAAGGGCATGGAAGCATTTTGTAAAAGTGTGACAACTGTTTCTAAAATATGTCTATGCTTTCTTTCTGCAAGACCATTTTGCTCAGGGGTATAAGGGCATGATTTTTTATGAACCATACCCTTGTCAAGCAAAAATTGTTTGAACTTGTAACTGGAGTATTCACCTCCCCCATCACTTTGAAATACTTTTACACTTGCAGAAAACTGAGTATTGAGAAACTGATACCAATGAACAAAAATATTGAACACTTCACTTTTATTTATCAATCGGAAAATACAGGTAAACCTGGTACATTCATCCACAAGGGTAACATAGTATTTGTAACCTTCAACTGAAACAGTAGATGAAGGCTCCCAAACATCACTATATACCACCTCCAAGGGTTTTACAGTCTTATTTGCAGGAAAAACAAAAGGGAGTTTTGTAAACTTGCCATCTAAACATGATTTACAAACAGAAGACATATGAAAAATAGGCATAGGTATATTGGATTGTTTTAGCATTGCAGATGTCATAATGTTGGAGGGGGTGTCCTAGCCTATGGTGCCACAAAGTTATTTTGACTTACCGTCCAAGAGAACATGACTGTGTTGCAATGAATGCAGATGGTTGCTGTGCTTGATTTATGAGATGCTATGGAATGTAGAAGGGAATGGGGTATAAGCCAGCTATACATAATCCCTAGAGAAGGATTCTCCCTGTGACCTTGTCATGAATCCAATAATATAACTCATCACATATAAATTTGCATTTGTTAAAGTTTATAAATGGATAATAAATGCTGAGATATATGAGGAACATGCATAATTTTCTTCAATTCAACTGCATATTTAGGTGTCCTTAATGTACTGGAACCAATATGAGAAATGTGCAAACCTGAACCACTAGTTGTGGTTACTGTATCTATGCCAGAGAAAAGGGTTGCCAGATTAAGATTTGCCAAATTAGAAGTCATGTGGGAAGTTGCTCCTGTATCAGCCACCCAAAATTACTCCTAAGGTGTAGATGGTTGAAAAGTTGTATGCATGGAAGAGAGATTAGGAGATGGAGCCTCTTCCTTCATATGAAACATCAGCTATGTGATAACATTGCAAAGCAATGTGTCCAAATTTCCAGCAAATTTGACACTATGGCTTGGAAGATGGAGTAGAGGAAGATGAGTGCCTCTTAAAATAGTCAGTAGCAATATGCCCTCTTTTGGTGCAAATTTGACAAATTGGAATGTCATAACCATGATCAGGACATGTAGATACATGAGGTTTTCCTGGACCAAGAATTCCTGCACTTGAATTTGAGAAACTAGAATTATTTCTATTCTTGAAATTGTAGTTATTTCTGCCTCTTCCTCTACCTTTGTAATTAGAGTTGTATCCACCATTGTAGTTAGAAGATCCACCATTGTAATTGCTAGTGTTGTTTGATCCACTAGCTTTGTAATTATGTGGCTAAGATTGAGTGGATCTTTCTCTAAGCATCAGAGCCTTTCCTTTGTCTTTCCTATCATTTGCCATCATGGCTAACACAAAGGTTTCATTCACATAGTTATTGTAAACAATATCTTCTTTTGCCGATAGTTGGGACCTAAAATCCTTTAGTGAAATCACATTATCTGTCTACCTAATAATTTTGAAAAGTATTGTACTCATTAGACAAGCCTTTAAGTGCCAAAATAACAATGTCATCATCTTTAAAGATCACTCCTGCTACAGAGAGATGATCCCTAACATCTTTGATCCTTTAAAGATACTGAGAAACTGAATCAGAACCTTTCTTTATATTCTGCAACTCAGCTTTTAATTGAAAAATACTGGCTTTTGTAACTGTAGAGAACCTATCCTTCAAATTAGTCCACATTTCATGAGAATTGAGACAACCAATGATACAAGACATGGTTGTTGGAGACAGTGTAGCAATGAGAAGCCGCATGAGAGCATGATCATACATTTTTCCAAATCTGAAACTCCTCAGTTTCAACACCTTCAACATCTGAATCATCTTTAAATCTTGTAGGACATGTGTGAGTGCCATCAACAAAGTAAAAAATTTCATGACTTTCAAGAAGTAAACAAATTTGATAGTTCTATACAAGATAATTTGTATCATCAAGTTTCACAGTAACAGATTTAGAGACATTCAAAATGAGACTTGTAATAGGAGACTGGACAATTTGTAATCGTGCTGCAGTCCCCATGTTTGTAGAGAAATGTATGCAAGAATTCAAGAATTTGTGAAAGAATCATAGAATTAGGGTTTCAGAAAAGGAATTGTGTAGAATTACTCGAATAAGTCAACTTAGAAACAGATTCGTGAGAAGAAAAACTGATACCAATTAAAAATAAAATAAAATAAACTTGTAGCCACGCAATTGATCGAACACTCGGCGAGCACAATCTTGCAGAAACTTTACAGATTAACTTAGCAGAAAAGAGAATTCGTAGTTTGATGGAGAAAGATATGTGAGCAAAAAATCACACCAAAATATATAGATCATGAATGCGGAAGTAAGAAACAGCTCAGGAACTAGAGAACTCTAGCACCGGCGAGGATACCATATCAGATTGTAGAGAGATACTTGTTCTTCATATAAGTTCTTGATAGAGAGAGAAGCATTTGAGAGAGAATAACAGTTTTAGAGAGAGAGAGAGAGAGAGAGAATTGTATCTTGTATATATTGAATGAATGAAATCTTACAACAGTGCATAGATATATATAGACAAGGTTTTCTTAGTCACTAAGTAAGCTAACTGTCAATAACAAACTTAACCAACTTAGGCAACCTAATCTACGTACACATGTCATCATCTGGAACAACTAATACATCTTTACACATATAACTTTGCCAGTTTCTCATTCAACTCCACCTTGGAAACATTTGGTCTTCCTGGATGCAAAACATGATCAATAAGGAATTGCTTTTTGGAGAGAAGATGGTTGGTCATGAACTTCGTCGTCCGGATCATCATTGCCTTTCTATCCACCATGGCTGCCTTTCTCTACCTTGTATTTCAATGTCTGCCTCTCCACTCTTCTTCCCTTTTTGTGAGTGTGCGCATGCTTGTGAGATTTGTCGCCTTTAATTAATCTCATGGTGTATAACAATTAATACAAAAAATTATAATAGAAGTTATAAATATTAAAAAAAAAATTGATAAAGGGTTATATTTAAGACATGATACATGACAAGTTTTGATTGGATTATAGTGCCATTCAGCAAGTAGCAAGCAAAGCCACACACAAATTTTTCTCTTAAAAATGGTGGGAAAATGTCATTTTTAAGTGTAATAGGGACAACACAATGAGCCACCGTTAATAGTGGCTATTGCTTATGAGGGGAGACGCTGATTAAAGAAATCCTGACTTTTTTTTAGAGTATCAAGAATACACACCAGGTTTGAGCATCCATCAATAAAATGAAAGAAAAAACAAATCAAAAAGAACGCAAATAAGGGAAAGTATAAAGTTAGACATGCGACATCAAGGAGGGAAAATTACTAATATGATATGTACATATCACATGTCACATTGTGTTTTAAAAATATTTTAACAAAAATGTGATGTGCATGGTTGTTTTATAGAGGCCGCACAATGTTATATAATCACCTCAAATCCAAAAAAAATCCTATAAAAATCCTATATCATTCCATTGTTGTCCCTCATTTTTCTAAAGCCGCACCCTCAAAAAACAAAAAGAATGCCAAACGTCTCCAATTTGACGACCAACCATCCCTAAACCCCATCACCTCCGTCTTCGAAGTCATCAGCTCTTGTTGGCCACCACCTATTCGGCCTCTCTCTGTCTCTCTCTAACACCTCGAGTTGCCCAACACCCAGATTCACCAACCCTGTCTCCGAAGAAAATACAAAAGTATACAATAATTCTTGACTTCACTTCAACAATGAAAATTCCCAAATTCTAGGGTTTGTGCACTCACAGCAAGGAAAACTTAAACAAGAAGATGAACTTTAATGAAAGTGATACCATGGTGAGGGGCTAGGTGTTCGGTGGTTGGCTGCCGACAAATAGTTTAATGGTTGTTTTTTCTTCGTTTTCTTCTAACCATAATTCAAATAGGGTACAAGAGGAAATTTAAGTGAATTTTTTTTAGCGAAGGGTGTCTTTATAAGATTGTGGAGTGTTAATAGAAGTGCCCTTGTCCTAATTAATTAAGATTAATTATAAAGAATAATTGCACTTACTTACATTACCACCACCACATTTTAGAGGGACCATTTTTGCTCACCACCATAACTATGGTGTATACTCATCATAAACTTAATCAATTGACACTTGGTCTTTCACCTAACTCTAGTTAACTTTCACATTAAATGTTACTTTTTCAATATTAAAAAAAAATTAACGAAAGTTAAGTGATGTGTCAATTGATTAGGTGTATGGTAAGCATACACTATAGTTTATAATGGTGAACAAAATTGCTCCCCATTTTAGAGGTTATACAGACATATAGGGTGGCCCTTCATTGCTCATAGGAATTGAAATGCAAAATGAAAAAAAGCTCATGTGTTAGTCCAAATGGTGAGGAAGGATAATGGTTTGCAATTATGTTGGATTTTTTTGGGTTAAAAACTGTAGATCGCAACTTATCCAATGGAGTAAAAGAAATTCAAAAAACAGGGACTGGAAATTGAACGCATGGTAGAGACGCCTTGCAAGAAAATTGGGAGGACAATCAGGACGAGATTACTACCGTGACCAACCGTGTTCACCTGCTTATGGAGTAGGAGGAACAATATTCGCAACAACACTCTAGAGTGTGGTGGCTTTGAGAAGGTGATGCTAATACTACCTTGTTCCATTGTTTTACTCTACAACACTGGCAACAGAATAAGGTAGAAAAAAAAAATTCAAAGATGGTGTATGGGTGGAAGGCTCGCAACGGATTGCCAACCTGGTGGAGGACCACTTTAAAACCTTATTTACATTTGAGGGGCATAAGGATTGGGGTACCATCCTTGATTGTGTCCAACCCTCTGTATCCAAGGCTATGAACAGCGAACTTACCTGGCCGGTGTCAGAAGAATAGATTAAAGCTGTTGTCCACCAAACAGGGGGGGTTAAAGGCACTTGGCCCTGATGGGTTTTAGGGGACCTTTTACCATTATTTTTGGGAGATAATAGTGGATGAGGTCAACGGGTTGGTGAAAGACTTTATGGCTAGGATGGGCAATACCAGTTGGCTAAACGTTGTGCATTTAGTCCTTGTCGCCAAGGTGCTGTGCCCATAATCTATGTCCCAATTTTGCCCAACCAGTCTCTGCAACTACTCATTTAAGATCTTCTCCAAGGTTCTTGTGAATCGCCTGAAGCCATTGCTACCCATGTTAATCTTACTTATGCAAAATGCCTTTGTTGCGGATAGGCAAATTCAGGACAACATTGGAATTGCTCATGAACTTTTCCACTTTCTTAAACTTGGAAGGACAAAAAGGCAGTTTGAACTGGGTATCAAGCTCAATATGCACAAGGTGTATGATCGAGTAAAGAGGGATTTCTTGGAGGTGGTTATGTAAAAAATTGGCTTTTGCCGAGACTGGACAAACCTTATCATGAACTACGTCCCAACAGTAGAGTTTGTGGTTATCATTAATGGGCATCCCGGGTTCGCTCTTTCTCGGGGTATCCGCCAATGAGACCCCCTATTTCTTTACCTATTTCTCCTAATCAGCGATGTACTATCTAGACTTATCCAAGATGCAGTGACAAGTGGGTCTCTTAATGGTATACAAATGAACCCTCATGGCCCCTATATTTCTTACATTTTCTTCGCAGATGATACTCTTATATTCCTTTAGGCCAACCTAAGAAATTGTGAGAACCTAGTACAAATCCTAAACCCCTACTGCCTTGCCTCGAGTCAACTAGTAAGCCTGCATAAATCTATTGTTCACTTCCACCCCAATGTCCCATCTGACACCTGCACTCAACTTGGAGCCATCTTGGGAATTCCTTCCGTGAATGACCTCTGGGTCTACCTTGGACTTCCATCTATTTGGGGAAATCAAAATGGCAAGGACTTGCTTACGTCAAGGGGCAAGTCTTTGGCAAGATCCAAGGATGGAAGCAGGGCTCCATCTCACTTGCTGGGAAGGAGGTTCTTATCAAATCAATGATACAGGCTATTCCCTCATATCCAATGAACCTGCTTAAATTTCATGTATCACTGTGTAAAGAACTGGATTCTCTTATTACTGGGTTTTGGTGGGGACAACAAGGGGGGAAGGGCAGATCCACTGCATTAGTTGGAGCAAATTAGGGCTACCCAAAAATGAGGGTGGAATGGGATTTAGAAAATTTTTAGGATTTCAATGATGCGCTACTAGGAAAGCAATGTTGCAGACTTATCCGAAACCCCAATTCCCTTTGGGCTCAGATTCTGAAAGCTCGATATTTCCCCTACTCGACTTTTCTTGATGTTGGAAAAGGCTGCTGATAGGAGTTTTACCACCTGCAAAAGTAGGGATAAAAACACTTTAAAATACTTGCAAGAGTACAAGGTTATCGTAGTATAGCAGCTTAAGCAAGACCGTTTTCCTCAGGGATTGAATGAATAATTTGTATTTAAACTAATCTTTAGCTAATTATTTTGTACAAAGTTTTGAAAATGGTTAATTTTGGAATTTAAAATAATAAAAACGAATTTAAATAAAAATAATTAAATAATTGACAAAGTAAAGAAATCAAAAGAAAAAGGTTTTGGAAAACAATTTAAACACTAGCGTTCCGCCGTCACCACGAACAATCTTACATAATTTTACCAATTACTTATGAATTTCCACATACATGCTTTGAAGGTTAGGTTTCCCTAATCCATATTTTAGTCGTGATGTTCAAGTGAAAATGTTTATCTAACATACAACCCGTCTGTAATATTCAAATCAAATATTAACATGTAAAACTCATTAAGTTTTGTGAAAACCGTTTGAAAAATCATGCAACCCTTAAGAGCGTGATGTTTGACGTAAGTGAACTTACAATTACTAATCACAAGAAGCCCTCCTCAATTTCAAGGTGATGTTCAACAGAAATTGCATCAAATTACTTGTCTAAAAACCCTAATGGTCGCGAATCACTAAGACAATTAGATAGTTTAATAGCGGTGATTAATAATTTAGAGCAAGCATGCATCCATTCATAAGCAAATTAATAAAATCACATATTCATGCTAAGGCTCATGGCCTAACCCTAGCAAAAGGAATTAGATACGAACAATCATAATAAAAAATAAAGAAAATATAATAACTACAAAAAGGATTGAAAACACCTTGTAGGTAAAAAGTCCGAAGTTTTCCAAAATAATGTATCTCCTCTCTCCAACCCTAATGGCTAAATAGCTTTATTTATAAGGAAAACTAATGAAAAAGACTTGAAAACTTTGAGTTTTAACGATAAGGACAAAATAAAGGGTAAAGTGAATATTATCAAGATTGACTTTTTAGTGTAAAAATATGGTTTTTCGTTAAAGTGAACAATACCGGAAGTTTTTCATTAAAGTTCCCTTATTTATACTACTAGAACAGGTCTTCTAAAAACTAGGAAACACAATAGAATAAGATAAATAGGAAATACATTCCTATTCTAACTTTGGTAAATCTTCCCAACCTGAATCCCACTTTTCTAGATCTTCAAGGCTCCAAAATAGGCCCAAAATGGCTAGAATTAAAGCTTGAGATATCCTAAACATAATTGCAGTAGGCCTCGAACACAAAAGACGTCATCTTGGACGCCAAAAAGCCTAAATAAGCCCAAAACGTCAATTTAACATCACTGCACGCTGCTCCTTTATTTCATCGCCATAATTAAACCACTTGATATAAAAGTCTAAAACTTTGATACAAACATGTTGAAAGACAAACGAACATCTTTCAATTAGAATCACTCCAAAATTCATCCATTTGAATACTTTTTGCTCAAGAGGAAGTCGAATGTCCTACATTGGAAATATAATTCGAAGTATCAAAATTC